CCAAGTTGAGGTGTCCAAAAAGAGTAATTTATAAATATTATATTTAAAAAAAAATTATTTTAAAAAAAGTTAGAGAAGCCAAGCATATGGCTTCCATGTCTAAATCAAGACTTTGTTATTTGGTATTTAAAACAGGATGCTAAATTCCTTATTTTTTATATAATCCTTTCCCTTTTACCTTCCTCGGTCCTCATCGGACTCTCTAAAGAATAAAAAGTAGCAGATTCTTCATAAATCTCTTTAAATGAAAGCTGTACATATACAATGTAATGTCTTAAAATATATGCTTATTTCGTGAGACTTCTTTATATTCGTTTTTTATTTTCAAATTTCATGACTAATTTTTCCTTATTAAAATTTAAAGTGCGACCCAAAGTTTTAATTATTGCAAAAGTGCGCCCTGAAGCAAAAGAAAAGTTTGAGAAACATTGTTCTACGATAAGAACCACGAAGATAGCCAATATTTAAATAATATGCTAAGCGAGAAAACGCATGCCCACAACCGCTTGAATTGGAAAGTTTTAGCTGAGTTAGAATCCATCTGGTACCTGTAGAATATATGCAACTATTTAAGCTACGTATCAGGCTACACTGCTACAATTACACATCAATATTGAAGACATTTTCTTTTAAGAATATCTCCTGTGAGTATCGAATTCTGCAAACCTTCTTTCTTTATTACGTTTCCCAGAAACGTCAAGAGTCTTTTTTATTATTATTCTAAGTAGATATGTGATTTTCTTACCCATTTTCTTGAAAACTTCCTCATTGCTCACATGCTCCATCCATGGTATTCTCAATATTCTAATGCAGAACCACATTTCCGTTGCTTCTTCATTTATTAGTAAGTTGTCTAATATGCACTTCTATATATGGGAGGATTGATATTATATTTAAATTTGGTATTCGTTTCTTTCTTTCCTGTTTCCTAATACTTTGTTCAGTTGGTTGGTTGGTTGAATTTGTTTAGCAGCATATCAACACCTCTATGGGTTATTTAATGCCGAAAATTAAATATTTTGAACGAAATTGTATACCTTCAATTTCAGAAAATATTTTGTTGATAATTTTTATATAAAACTCTATTGTTGGTATTTTTACTACAAAAATGTATTTTTATACTTTCATAGGGATAATTTTTTTTGTGGGGTTAATATTTGCCCATAGTTGGGACCCTAACAGGTGCTACTATCACAGGTGAGGGTGGACCCGAGAACAATAGCAGTTAAGAGGTGGTACCACGCTCCTCAAAACGTCCAATATCACGATAGAGGCCTTGGTGCCAGATGCAGTTGATATTTTGTTCGGCTTTTGGGAGGGTATATTTTACTATTTCAGTGTGCTAATTTTCAGTCATCAATCAAAACACTTACCAGTACGGCTAAAAAAATAGTGTGAAATTAGATAGGACATTTTTAGTCTTATTAAACAGCAAAATAAAAATGCAAAAAAAAAAGATAAAAGCTCTTTGTTAGTATAGATAAAAATAAAAGATAAAAGCTCTTTGCTAGCATAGATTTTTACAAAGTTTAACCTAGTAAAAAACATCAAAAATGTGAGATAAAATGAACATAGGAAGATTATGCTTATTTCAAATTTCTGGTTTTTAGCAAGGCTCGAACACCAGTTACTGGCGCTAGTTTTGATGTGGAGGTGTGACAGAGAGAGAGTCTGGGAAACACACACGTATATATATATATATATATATCATATATATATATATATATATATATATATATATATAGTGAAATGGAGTAGATTTGAACAGCGAAATTAAATCAGAGCATTTTGTTTACTGATGGGGAAATTTGATCTAGGGCAGAAGTTATACCCATTGAATCTGGGTCATCAGCAGACAATGGAAATGGTCGAAATAATTATTATCGATTAAAAATTGAAATAGAGCTGAGTAAGCTAGAAGGAACTTTGGAATTCCCATGATTTTAGTTGAAGCAGCCAGAACCCCGTGATAATCGCGTGCGGAAGTGGTAGAGCCGAGGGTCAGTTGTAGCCAGCCGATTTTGTCTATATAAATAATAATTCTAAGGAAGACAGACAGGAGAAAATTTTTGAAGAGAGAACTGGCCCGAGCGAGCGTTGGGAGGAGGAACGCCACTATAACTTTAAGCCCCGCACAGAAATCTTTATCCCTCCATTGCAAGAGTCATATATCGTTCTGAGACGATTTAACAACAAGATAATCACTAACATTCTCTCTGTGTCTAGAATCCAGTGAATAAGTCTTTTCTTTACCTTTTCTTTTCTGTAACCTGTTTCTCTTCTCTACTACTCTTTTCTGCTATATAAAAGACATTAACAATTCAACCATTCGATGTGTGTCCGGCTTTCTGCAGATATTAATTTTTTTGGCTGCATTCTAAATTTCTTAGCGCAGACTCCCCAGCTGTGTCTACATCATCAGTCGACCGTGAATGGACTGACATCACTTCTGCTTTCTCGATCAAACAAATCACAACGTGGGCAGGAAGCAGGATTAAACCAGTGGACAGGTCGAATAATCTACGGATGCTCAGGGAATCTATGGCCACTCCCTTAAGTTCAGTTAGGATCGAATAGACACCTCAACCTCGAAAGTAAGACGCCGGAGGTTGAGGGGTCGGGGCGAAAATGTTAGAGAGGTAGCGCAACTTTTTCGATGCAGAACGTTGTATCGTTGACTCGGGTTCAAGTCTGCTGCGTCCTCTTTCATGCAAATGCCTTTAGGAAAGGACTGAAGCATCATCTTATCCCCCCGCCACTCCTAAACTCCTAACATGGGTTAAATAGCTGTGTAGACTGGACTCTCTCTCTCTCTCTATCTATCTATCTGTCTATCTATTTCTCAGCGTCGCCTAGTCTAAAAAGAACATTTTAAATTCAAAACCGTGGAGCTTCACTATCTTTCCCAAGAAATTGTAGCAATAAATAGATAATAAAGAAAAAGATCTGTGAAGATTGATTGTTTTTTATGACTATTCAACCATTTGTGAGTTATTTAATGCTGAAACGTATTTTGGGAAGATTGTAAGAATGATTATTTTCTTTTTTCCAAGTGAATATTTTTTTAAGTAACAATGATTTTTCCAAATACAATTTCTACTATTTAATCCATAGCTGAGGAGAGAATGAATCTGTAGCGAACCCTGATTGCCTAATGTACTGAAAGGGACATGACACAATGAAAGAAAACGTAGACATGAACCAGCAAGCAAACTTCATTATAATTAGTTTATCCAAGATTCAAGCCTAAACAGGTTGACTGTTTTCATCACAATCAAACGAATCTTTCTTTTTTTTTTTTTTTTGAAGAATAATAAAACCCATTCAATTTTAAAATAAGCCTATTTCAAGGCTGATGTCTGATCTGATTTATGAGTGGAAACAGTAAAGCTCATGCGTTTGAACAGCAAGAAACATGACTTCCTACTTTGTGAGCTTTTTGTAATCGCCTTTTAATTTATCATTTCCCAGAATACTTTGCAATCCTAGTCACGTGACTTGACGGTGCTGAAAGCCCGTTCTTTATTCAAGATAGAGAGAAGCAAATTAAATTAAAATATAAATTAAAAAAATTACGTTCTGTCAATTTTAATATATGACTGTCTTTCGCTCTTGATTTGATTATGTATTAGTGCAATAAAGCGACTTAAAAACAATTAATATTATGTAGAAATGTCGTCATGCCTTCAAAGACACTGATAACAAAATAAGAAAAAATGTCACAAACCTTTTGACGAAATTAAATTAAACTTTTTACTTTTACGCACGTTATGCAGAATTCTTCAAAATTTAGCTTGGTACCGAATATATATATATATATGTGTGTGTGTGTGTGTGTGTGTGCTGGCGTGTATACGCTGGTAAGCAAATAAATAATTATCAAATTTAGCCAAGAGGTATAGACATGATAGTGCTCAATGGGATTAGACAGAGCTAAGAAATATATATTGATAAATACAAATATACCTACGTTTGGTGTGCGACTTAAGTTTTGTTGGTTACCCAACTCGTCGGGCACAAGATATAGCTTATTGTTTATTTTTAAAAAGTATACAGATGCTCAGGGAATGGACGCTGATTCATAGTTCAAAATTAAAATAGTACAAAAATAGTATAAAAGCAATACTGGCGTTTAAATGCAGGAAATTAGGTGTAGGTATGAATCAATAATTTAAAAAAAAAGAGATAAAAAGGGAATTGAAGTACGCTTAAAATTTAAAATTTGAATGATGGATGCTGTTCGAAAAATACGTTTGACTTGTTAAAGGGAGATAATCAGTGTATGACCTAAAATTAGAGCGGGTGGAAAATTAAAATTTGAAATTAAATTTAGACGGAAAGTTGGTTATCCAGAATTGCAATATTTTAATAGAAACATTTTTAGGCATACAAGTAGACATAAGCTCATTCCGTTTATTGAGTATGTTTGAATTATTAATATTTTTTTAGGATGAATAATTTTTCATGTAAACATAGATTGCACCTGTCCTCACTGCCTGGGAATGGGTTGATTTTAGCGACACTTCCCAATTCACTGCGCGTGTGTAGCTATCTGTTTTGACCTCAATAAAACTTGAGTGCTATATATATATATATATATATATATATATATATATATATATATATATATATATGTGTGTGTGTGTGTGTGTGTAAATTGAATACTGAGGTCAACACCAAGCGGCGACAGTCTGTTTCATGCTTAAACACAATCTTTAGTGCTTGTGTGTTGTGTTTGGGCTCGAGTATTTATATATGCTGGTCAATGATGCATTATGGGTAATAAGGTCTACTGTACTATTCCTAATCGTTATTGAGTTGACGATAACGGTTATGTTTCAAATTATTCTATAGACTATTGAGTAGGAATAATTGTGGGTCCGAATACAGTTATTTGTAGCTATTTTAGTGTTGTAAACTTTATGCTCCTTATTTGGGGAAGTGATTATCGCTGTTTTCTCCTTCAAATACAGTTTACAGTTTTTGGATTTGTTGTTTACTGTTTTTGGATTTGGATTTAGATAGATAGATAGATAGATAGATAGATAGATAGATAGATAGATAGATAGATCTAAATAAAGAGATATGATCAACCATATAAGAGGGCAATTACGTACACATACAGGTGAGAAAATAACTATTTATTTAATCAATGGTGTAGACAAATCAATTCTCAGCGCAGTTAAACAGAGCTATAAAGTATATATTAATAATTACATATATACCTACGTACCTACGTTTACAGTACGACTCAGACTTTCATCGCTTTCCCCATTAATCAGGTAGCAAGTTATGTACTGTTCAATACGGCTGTTTAAAAAAAACGTACTTTAAAAAAGAAAACGACCGTATTGAACAGTTCATTATTTTTGTACCTGAGTCGTACAGTAAACGTAGGTATATATGTAATTATTCATATATATATATATATATATATATATGTATGTATATGTAGAGAAAGAGAGAGGAGAGAGACAATTATTTTAGTATATTTTCTGTTTATAGGTTATGGACTAATTTAGTTAATACTGTTTATTGTAAACAGAGCATTTACTTAAATATTTGTATCTATAAAAACAGCGTATGAATAGAAAATATATTAAAATAATTGTCGGACTTAGACCATTTCATAATATATGATGTCATTTATTTACGTTAAGATAAGCCTCAAGCAGATATGAGTATTCGAGAAAAATCATGGGAAATCTGTTGTTTAAAAACAGTAATTTGACTTTGCTAACCACACACTTCCTCTGTAGTTAAATGGCATAGCACGTCAGGAGAGTTCAAGAAAATTTATGGAAAATTTGTTGTTTAAAAACAGTAATTTGCTATTGATAATTAGACGCTTCCACTGTAACTAAATGGTATAGCACATCAAGATACAGGTTAGATTCCTGTCGGAGGATACATATTTTCTATGACATTCTTCGGACATTCAGGCCGGTAAATGTAGTTAATACTGTTTATTATAAACAGAACATTTACTTAAATATTTGTATCTATAAAAATAACGTTGAAATTTCTATGCCACATAATGAGGAAAGAGGGCTTGGAAAATGTGATACTCACAGGACAGATTGAAGGCGAGGGACAGCGGAAAGCAGTGCATAATCTACCTGACGAGCTTGTATAAATGCATGATGATAAGAGGTTTAGAAGATACAAAAGGACAAAATTTATTAAGAGCTACAAAGGACAGGAAATGTGGAGAGCCATGATCGCCAACGGCCTGAAGAGGTATGGCACGAAGAAGCGGAATCACCTTACGGTGATAGACAAAAGTACTTTGAGCGAAATTTATCTTGGGTACAATTTATACTAAATTTATTATAAATGATCAATAGACAGAGGTATTTGAAGTGTAAAAAATTTAATTCTATATTCTGTATTTTTCTGGTGGATTTAGGCTATGTGTTATCACTACGTTCATTCCAATTTCCGACTATAAAATCTGTTTTGGGAAGTCCTACTTTTTTGAACACAGTAAAAAAATATTTTGTTTTGTTTTTTTATTTGTTAAAACTGATTTTTATACTAAGTATGAAAACCTATGTGGTCTTTATACACACCTCCTCGTCGTCAGAATACTGACCACTGAAGGGTAAACAAGGGGAACTTTTCTGTTAGGAGATTCGTTTGGCATGTGTTGTATAATATTTAAATGATCTTTGCCCATTTCTTCACATCTGTACTTATACACGCACAAAGCATAATCCAGGAAGAGATTAAACAGACTGAGGCGCTCATTTTCTTATCATATTCCTAACGAGCGTTAGTTTTGAAGTGATTCGATTTGTGAGTCTTCACCTGACATATTTAAGACTTTGTGAATAGATACAGTTCTCCTATCAGATTGAGGTATTCGGTGGAGTCAGAGCTTGGAAGGTTGTATCTAACAGATAGGAAGAGGAAGAATGTATCTATATTCTACTATGATATCAATGTGGCAGGTATTTTCATGGAGTTGTTTGATGACGTCATTGCAGCCAAATTAGTGTGTTAGAATGATGTTGACGTTCATAGAATGTATGTAATGTTAATTAATTAATCTGTTCGTGAAATATATTAGTGAAAATTACTATTTGCACGATAATGGACACAATTCACGTCATATAAATGAATATATTCTAAACATTTCCCCAAATTCTACTTCTAAAAAAAGCAGACTTTGTTCCTTTAGTATTATTCTTTATAGTGTAATAATATCAATGTAAAAACTAATAAGAAAATAAGTCAAAATCACTGATACGTAAAATTATTGCTTATTCACCTCCTGAATGTTTCCAATTAATATCGGCGTAAGGATATGTGTGTCTTTGAGGCTTCCTCCAAACGTTGATCTTCTTCACGCGGGAATGTGAGAGATCTCTCTCATTTCCTTCTTGCGTGGAATGCTTATATAACTTCCTGCAGTGCGACTCTCCTACATATACACATTCTAATATTTGTTTACATTCTTTAGGCTGACATTTAAATATATCACTGAGGCGGGAATCTGCAACTGGTGGCTGTGAGGACACTTCCCAGATCAACACTCTAATACTCTTAGTGCGACACTGAGTGCAAATCTACTGTCGTATCTCTTATGAGAAGCCCAGTACGTATTGCAGTTAGCACTTATCAACTTCAATCATTTCACCCTAAGCAAGGCAATAATGCCCCTAGGATGCATGGGGTTACTAGGAACGAAAGAGAATGAGAAAACTTTAGTGAGGAGATGAGTAATCGAATAATAGTATTCATCTAAAAAAAACAAAAGCAAAATAACGTTTAAGCAAGACAAATTAAAATATGTCGGATTTAATACATTTCATAAAATAAAATGTCTTTGTTTTACGTTAGGATACAATACAGAGAAGATATGGAGGTTTCAAGAATCGTCAGAGAATGCGAATTCAAAAGCACTATCCCAGGCTTTGTTTAACCGGAATTCCTACGTGGCCGAATCGGTTAAACACGTCAGATCTAATAACGGTTTTCCATAGGTGTTGCAAGTTCGAATCCTGACGGAGGACGCATATTTTCTAATAAGATTTTTTGAATATTTAGGCCGGTATAAATGCGGCAAATAAACAGAGTATTTACTCGAATATGAGTATCCATCTAAGAAGAAAAAAATATGTCGGATATAATCCATTTCATATATATATATATATATATATATATATATATAATCGTCAGGCCATATGCATTGTGTTTTTGCTCGACTATTTATATATACAGGTCATTGAAGCATTGTGGGTAGTCTAATGATTATTTTAGTGGGCGGTAACAGTTATGTTTCGAATTGTTGTCGGGGTAATTTAGTGGAAATAATTGTGGATTCAGATGGAGGGTTTTGGCGATAAATAGTGCTGTTTGTTTTTTGTCGTTTTTTTTTATTTATTTATTGTTGATCATTCTATTGTTGGTTGTTATTACGTTTACTAGGGTTTATGTGTGCGTTCCTGGTTCGTTAATTTGTTTGTTATTTACTTAATTTATGTATTTATTTATTGGTTTCGATTAATTTATTTTACTTATTTTTTTACTGATTGTATTTTATTTTATCATATATTTATTTTTGTTTTATTCTTGTTCGTTTTTAGCTTTCGATTTTTAAGTAAGATAGTAAAAAATTTGCTTTCGTATCAGGATTTTCAGATGAATTCTGATCGTTTATTTAGTATTTTGTGTTGGTCTGGGAAGGTAATTATAGGTATTTTCTCCTTCAGACAGAGTTTACAGTTTTGGGATTTATTGCTGTATAATAGTCATTTTTGCCTTATTTTCCATGATATTTTTTGCGTGATTATTTTTTTCTTTTTTAATCTCACAGACATTTTTAGAAAAGCATATATATATATATATATATATATATATATATATGAAAATTTCTCCGATTTAATCAGTAGAGAAGACAATATTTATGAATAAAAATGACAATAGGAAAACTGGTAATTGCTGACGCGTTTCGTCCAATGTGGACTTTATCATTTCCGTATTTTGCTTTGATAAAGTCCACATTGGACGAAACGCGTGAGCAATTACCAGTTTTCCTATTGTCATTTTTATTCATAAATATATATATATATATATATGTAGAAAAATATGACAAACTGGAAAGTAGTTTTGTGACGTGTTTCATCCGTTAGGATTTCTACGTCCAGTTTGTCATATTTTTCTACATACTCTTTGTTGATATTTCAAATTATGCAAAATTATATGTCGTTATATCATTCATGATGCAGACATAAGGAAAACCCAGACACTCCTTGTCCAGTTGAAGTAGATTTATTTGTAACCATGGAAACGTGATTTTAGCTGTGTCTTTAAAACCCAGTAATTTTAAAAGTTACTCCAAAATTCGCTTGAGGATGAAATGGAACTATTGTCTTTAATTTCATTGCAAAATTAAATTCGTGGCTTTTAGCTTCCATTTTTGAAACATGGTTAGAACTGTGTAGTGGAAAAAAACGATATTTTAAATCAATTAATTTTAATATATATATATATATATATATATATATATATATATATATATATATATATGGTGCTATTGATAAATTGTCATCTAAATTACGCAAAAATTAAATTAACACTGACATCTCATTTTAACAGATATATTTACCAAAATTACACAAAAATATCTTGAAATACTAATGAGTAAATTTATTCAATAAAATCACCATTGACTTCAACCACAGCCTGCAGATGACTTTGGAATCTCCTGCAACTCTTCTGGACAGTCTCTTTGTTTAAGTTGATGAATGCTTCCATAATCCTTGCCTTCAGTTCATCTTTGGTGTTATTAAGAGTTTTGTTAGTCTCTCATTCAAATGCGCCCTACACATCAAGAGGCTTGCAGTCAAGGAGTTAGGTGGCCAGATGTAAGGGGTGATTTGGTCGCGGAAATTATCTGATAGCCATGACTGTGTTGTTTTACTTGTGTGGCATAATGCAGAGTCCTATTACCAGACATATGGTCTCCCAACAGCCACACTCTTGACCCAGGGCAGCATTACCACCTCAAAGCACTTGATCAGTGTTGCGTCTGAGGCTCTCAACAACAAATTTAGGAGTTATCAGAATGATCAAAGTGAGTTTTCCGGACTGCCGTACCTTTTTAATCACCATTAGACTCATCCAACTCTTTCCGAACCCTCTGAAATATCCTCAGATTGACACCCAAACACTCTGAAATGATTGGAGCTTCTGGCGTGAATGCCAAGCAGTACGGCATGTCGTTGGCAGTGAATTGCGTCATGATGTTTGTCTCACAGGCGATGCCCAAATGACACTATTATAGTGTGCTATCGACAAAATCAAAAACAAACAACGCGCATGCGCGAAATAAAAAATATAACATGGCAAAAATTTATCCATCGCACCCTGTATATATATATATATATATATATATATATATATATATATATATATATATATATATATATATATGTGTGTGTGTGTGTGTGTTAAATAAATTTCTTTCTTTCTAAATTCTTTTATATATATATATATACAGAGAGAGAGAGATCGAAAGACAGAATAGAGTGTAACATAGCTCAGTAAGGAGAAAAACCATTCTTAAACATATCACTAATGTTGTACTTTCAGTGCGATTGCAAATGATATTCATAACATTATGATGTCAATTTGTTACGAGGGTCACTAATTTGTAGCGGGATCATCATGTTTATTGAACTTGGATATTTTATTGTGCTGAATGAAAATATCTATGTGTGTGTGTGTGATAAGTTGTTTGGAAAATATTATTGTCGCTACATGAGAGTTGTATGCTCCACGTGGTTCGATGACTTAAAAATCTCCCATTTTGTCACTATCTCATCCTGTGGGCATCTCATCTTTCTTTCTTTCTTTCTTACTGTTCAAATTCCTTGGTTATGTCTTTTTTTTTCAAATCCATTGATCATTTCTTTCTTTTCAAATTCCTTGGTTCTTTCTTTCTTTTTAAATTCTTTTTTTCTTTCTATCTTTCTTCCTTTTAAATTTCATTGGTTATTTCTTTCTTTTTAAATTCTTTTTTTCTTTCTATCTTTCTTCCTTTTAAATTTCATTGGTTATTTCTTTCCTTTCCTATTTCTTGGTTCTTTCTTTCTTTCTTTTCAAATTTCTAGGTCCTTTTATTCTTTCTTTATTTCTTTTCAAATTTTAAAACTTTACATCAAACTAATATATTGCAAAAATGTTTTCTCGAAATTCAATCTCTTGTCAAGATCTTTCTTGCAAAATCTGCGACGCATCTGTAATATACACCCCCAAATACATCATTTAAAATATGCTTACATAATCCTCCACTGTGTGCGCTTGAAATCCGTCTCCATTAAGTAAAGTGTCGTCTTTCCTCATTTATTGTAGTGATTGATAAATCAGTTTGACATCTTTTGTCGTCTTGCCTCTCTCTGTTCCCGCTTTTTACATCACCCAGTCTCAACGCGTACTTTGCTTTAAGGAATTTAGTAGTGTTAACCCTTGTTATACGGTGTCTGTCCTTATGATATCTCCCATCTTCCAAATTGACTCTTTGCCAGCAAATATTCATCTTCCTTCGTTGTCCAACTGAGATTTCACAATATCTGCTGATTGCGATGTGTCTGTCACACTAGGACTCCTTCGACAGTCGCCTTTCTCGAAGCCGGTCATAACTAGTTGCGGGGATAAGCTAATAAGAGCACCGCTACAATGGTTTGTGTTAGAGTCGGTGTTGGTAACAGTACTTAAAATAAGAGATGTTGTGCTGAATGGGATATGGAGAATAAAACTAATAAAGAGGGTGTTGTATGGTAAACTAATGAGAACGAAAGAAAAGGTTAAACAAGTAGGAAAACGATATAAAATGGTTACAAAAAACGTAGAGATTAAGGAGAGATCAAAACTTTAAGATGAAGAAAGAGAGAGAAAATAGAGAAAAAAATGAAAGAGGAAGATCAGTAAACTGTGGAGAAAGAATGGAATAAACTGTAAAGACTTATGGTTAAAAAAGACGTAATGTCGTAAATGAGAGGAAGAGGATAAGAAAAAATGAAGAGGTTAATGAAGTAGAGGATGGAAAAGAAAGAAAGAAAGAAAGAAAGAAAGAAAGAAAGAAAGAAAGAAAGAAAGAAAGAAAGAAAGAAAGAAAGAAAGAAAGAAAGAAAGAAAGAAAGAAAGAAATTGAAAAAACGAAAGAAAGAAATTGAAAAAACGAAAGAAAGAAATTGAAAAAACGAAAGAAAGAAATTGAAAAAACGAAAGAAAGAAATTGAAAAAACGAAAGAAAGAAATTGAAAAAACGAAAGAAAGAAAAAATGTATTTGAAAATAAATTTAAAAAAGAATGGAAGGACCAAGAAATCTGAAAAGAAATAAAGAAAGAAAGAAAGAAAGGAAGAAAGAAAGAACTAAAGAATTTGAAAAGAAATAAAGAAAGAAAGAAAGAAAGGAAGAAAGAAAGAACTAAAGAATTTGAAAAGAAATAAAGAAAGAATGAAAGAAAGGAAGAAAGAAAGAACTAAAGAATTTGAAAAGAAATAAAGAAAGAATGAAAGAAAGAACTAAAGAATTTGAAAAGAAATAAAGAAAGAAATAACTAAAAAAATTGAAAAGTAAGAAAGAAAGTAAGAAAGAAAGCGTCTAAATATTAAAAGGTACGTGAAATTGGAGGTGAATGAAGTGAGAAAAATGGGAAACAATAAAAAAAAAAATGATGAACGTCTAACGCAAAAAGCCACGGAAAATTGATTCAAAAACGATTAGTCATGTTTTCCCAGCAAAAATAATGTTATTGGCGAAAATATCATTATTGATTATCTTCAACTAACATTTTCTCAATTTTATTTGGAAGCTTTTTTCTGTTCACTTTTCGTTTTTTTTTTTTCTTCGTGTTTATTGCACTTTGTAACGAAGGTATTTATTTATCAGCTTCGCGAAAACAAAATGTCACACAAGGTCGTTTTTTTTTTAGTTTCTTTCCTTCCCGCCTTCCTGCTTTACCTTTTCTTTTCTTCATTTCTATGACTTTGTTCATTATATCGGGCTATAAAAATGTTCCCATAAAACCAAAATGTCACACAAGGTCATTTTCCTTCCTTCTTTCCTTCCCGCCTTCTCTTTTCCTTTCTTTACTGCAATGAAAGCGTTCCTTTGAAACTAAAATATAACCCAGGTCGATTTTTTTTCTTTCTTCCTTTCTGTCTATACATTTCTTCTGTCGTATTTAGCAATGAAAATATTTATTTGCCATGACACAGGCCAAAATGTTTCACAAGACTACTTTTTCATTTATTCTTTTGTCGCTTCACCTTTTTTTTACTTTAGTTCGCATAATACAAGGTCCAACAGCCACTCAAGGTAGAGGGTTACTATATAAAGTTGTTGTAAGCGCGGTGGAAGGAGGTAGTAAGAAATGCGGAGGATTATGTAGGTTAGATATCAGTGGAATTTACTCCTTATCAAAGGAAGTCGAAAGGATTGGTGACAATTTGCCACCGTGAACATGACATCGCGGATCCCTAGCCGTAAAGATCTAAACAAGGTATGTATCTCGTTAGGACATTTTTCCATAGTAATAGAACGTTTGCAAATAGAAAATTAGCAATGTTTCGTCTGTGGGATATGGGTTGCAGGGGGTGATCTATTACCCATAATGCAGCGTAATTGTATTTGAACTTTGTCAAGGCTGATCAGTGAGAACTGTGCAATACCTTCCCACATTCTTCGTCTAATCTTAGTTTTGCAAAGATAGAGCATGGCAGCGGGAGTTAAGTATTTTCAGGAGCAGTTCAAGGAACCAACTATTCTTCCAGCATATTTAGAAGTGACACTAGTTCCATTTGCGGTCTGGAATGAGCTTTAGACCAAAAAGGCATTCGAGGTATGGAAGCACATTGAGAGTATAACCTTATTTCTTTTTTCTTTCTTTTTTTCTTTCTTGCATTGTAGTTTTTGCCTTCTCATGAATCTAAAATGTAATACTAACATGACATTAGATCGATTTTTTACAGGTTTTGAAAAAAAAAATTTTAAATCACTCAATCCGCAAACATCAACAAATGCTTCTGATCGCATTACTTTTTTAATGCTATAAGGAGGTCCAATCTGACAAAATAAAAATGTATTTTTCAATCTTTTTTGCGCAAAGTAAAACGAATTCATTTATCTATGAAAGAAAAGATCGTTTTGAAAGACAGAAAAACAACATTTAGTCCAATTTTATGCAGTCGGCATGATTCCAGTGTCGCCATTTTTCACCTTCAACCAAGAATTTGTATTTTTCTCCAGTTTTGCTTTATAACTTTACATTTCTGAAAGCTCGTCTTCTTTATTTAAAGAGATCGCCATATTGCGAAAATTACTGTTTCGCGTTGTTTCAAAGAGAATAAATCGCATTCAAATATGTTGAAAAAGTCAAATTTGCCAAAAACGGTCATTATTATTTGCAATGACAAAAAGCCACAACGAAATTATTTTATTCTCTGTTGAGATAATACGATATTCGGGGGCGTAAAGAATTCTGATAATGCTGAAAATCCAACATGTATTTTCTTTCTTTCTTTTTTTTCTCTCTCTCTCTTTCTTGCAGTTGTAAAAATATGAAAAAGATAACGTTGCTTATTCTTTTACAATTTTGCATCTAAGATGTTCCAATGATTTGATTAAATGGAAATCCTAAGGTGCCAAAGCGATTGAGTTTGGTATGAAGTTTGTATTACAGGCGTTTGTTTTTGTTTTATTTTTATTAAAAAAAATGAATTTTTTTACTGTGTATTTTGCATCTCATCAGAAGTACGAAAAGGAGGAAATGAAAGCGCCAGTCTATTTAATCTTTTCCTAGACTATTCTCTGCGCATATACTAGCAGAGATGTGAAGAGATGAGCACTAATCAATTAAGCATTCCATATCATATCCCAAATGAATCTACTAATAGAAAATAGCGTTACTGCTTTCCCTTACGAGGCCAATGTACTGACGATGCGGGAGCTATACCGATGACAAGAATGATATGTAGCAAAAAAATCAACATCTACTATCGAGTGTTCCAAGAAATCTGATAAACCTTTCCTAAATAGAAACTATAATCCAGAATTGGAATGAAAGCACTGGTGGCACCTACACTGAATCCATCATAAACATTCAGGATGTGGAATTAATAAATACTAAACAATTCAAATACATCGGTGTATGGATCGGTTACAGCAAATTTAGTACGAAATCTAATATAGAATAGGCTACCTTAGCGATAGTTTTGACCGACCCCTCAAGTTGCAACAAAGACAACACGTTAACCCGAAAACACGAGTCATATCCTTAAACAACCTTATCAGATGTGGACCTTCATATGGACGTCATTCATGGTGCCAGACCCCTTCAGAAATATCTAAGCTGTCAACTGTATACAACTGCTCTCTCAGATCTATGATTTAAAATGGCTTCGAGTAACTGAAGATTTTACGTCATCGCGAGGACAATCTCTTGTTGTTATTTTTGGATTAGGCACCCCAAAATTGATCAAAATTAGCCAAAACATCTCATGTGCAATTTCAAATAAATTATAAGCATCTGGTCTATGTGAATAGTTGGGCAATTGTATTGGGTTAGTAGTCCATTGATAGTCAATTCAGTTCTGGCTGGATTTCCGTTTTTTAGATCCTATTCTTGATAAAGCGAAGTATGGTAAATAAAACGATACTATATCTATCTATCTATCTATCTATCTATCTATCTATCTATCTATTTCTCGTGCAAGTTTTTGCTGTTTATATGCGTGTGTGTCAACGAGCTTGTAACCAATAAACACAATGACTTCTCTTTCTACTGCGTTCAAAAATGACCTTTGACTCATTAAACCATTGGTTGATGAAATTAGAACGTAGCTTTTAAGGCAATTCTGACAATGAATCAAATATGTTTATTGGCTTCAATTTCCTTGGCTTCAATTGCGTATATTCAATGACTTTGCAAATAACAAATCGCAAAAGAAAATACAAGAAGCAGACGACATATTTGCTTTCATTAAATCACTATCAAGTTAAACACTTTCACGGTTTCATAGGCCAAATCCAAATGGTCACTTTGTGTGCTAATCTTTCACTAACTGAGCTAACGTTTTAATTAGTGCATCGAAAGCATTTAGTTCCAATATTACGAATGGCAAAAAATCTCTTCCCAACCTTACAAAATATACCTTTCATCTGGTTCCAAATCATAAAATAGTTCATTATTATGTCGGATTTAATCAATATATTTGGAGTTTTTACAATTTAATATATTTTTAGCAATTCTAATTTCATTTTTCATAAAATTTAATCAAATCTTTTTGAATATCTTTAAAAAAAAAAAAAAAAAACCACCAATTAATCTACAAATTTCTTAAGGTTTTTCCCAGACTACTATTCATAGCATTGTTACAGATTTTGTGATATTAAATTCACTAAATACGATAACAAAAAGAAATGCATAATTCTCCTTAATAATAAAAAGAACTAAAGGTTATTACATTTTTAATTAATACTGGCACGGACATCAGAAATGTCTGGAAATAGCGATTTACTAAACATAGCTCAGATGTGGCACAAGGCCGAGATTAAGGACCACCTAGGGAAGACCGAACTCACTACTCAATCGTAAAAGACCTAACAAAAGAAACTAGTTAACTACACGTCGAAGCAAAAGAAAATACAATTAAATAAAATAATTTTCTGGGTGTTATACAAGGCTTCGTAACACTGCGCCATAATTATTCTTTACGTTTTATTTATTCCTATATGACAGTGAGTGTTGGACAATCTCTTCACAAGAAGAGATTGAATCAACAGAAATGTTGTTCTACAGAAGGATGCTGAGAATACCATGGACCGAACATCTGAACAATGACAAAATTTTAAAGAAAACAGAAACAAAAAAGACGCTTATAATTAACAACAGAAAATCATAGTTGAATACTCTAGGGTACATAACGAGGAAAGAGGGCTTGGAAAATGTGACACTTACAAGACAGACTGAAGGCAAGAAGTACAAAAAAAATAATACATAACCTACCTAACAAGCTTGAGTAAATGGATGGCAGAGCAGGGTTTAGGAGAGATAACAGACAAAATTTATTAAGAGCTGTGGAGAGCCATGATCGCCAACATCCTGATAGATGATGATGATGATGACTGATTTATGAATTAGACACAATAAAGGATTAACAGCAAGTAACAGTACAATTATAGGAATGTAATATAACTTATACGACGATTAGAATAGTCGTTCTTACATAGGACTCAACAACCTCAGCATACAATTTATTTTCTTTCATTAAGTCGGAAACTTTCACCTTTTCAATAAAAGGAAGCGCTTTATAACTTCTCGTTTTTACTACAAAAGAAGGCCCAAGAGATAATCAAGGAAAAAGTTCTTAAATGAAGTGTATAAAGGCAAAAGAAAGTAGGAAGTAAATTTACGAGGATATGGCGGATAAAAAACGGTTAACCCTGGACTTGAAGAGGTTAGAATTGTAGTGTACGTAAGGAAATAGGGTGATTCAACCCTATGGACGCAGCAAGGTGGGTCTTAGTTTGTAATGGTCTCAGCTGGTCGCACTAAAAATGTAGGTAGTCTGAATATTTGCCATGGAGGAGAAGTGGCTGAAGAATCCTCCACAAGACCGTGTAAGCGATTTCGAAATGTTAAGTCTGAAAAGTCTAGAATTGTTAACATGAATACATTTTTGCAATGCAGTATTTATTAAGTGCAACTTGTGCAATTTAAGTGCAACTTGTGCATTCATTAATTAACTACAGGTAACTGAGTTATGCTGGTATCATGTAACCTAGCACAACCTGTCGCATGGTCAGGTCATCGGTGATCAAGCCGGTTCACCAACCAGGTTTTGTAGGATCAACAGCCATCTAGCACAATGTGATTGGCTGGATTTCATGAGTATGTATGCAGCCACCGCGGTACTTCTGGGAGTGGGGCTTTCTAGATTGTCAACTAAGAGAGTGACGTGTTCCCCAATAGGATCCACAGCCAGTGGGTTCCATATTGAACTCTTTCAAGTCCGCTCTAGTTTAAACTGGAGAGCGATGGGCTCCGCCAGATCTATTTACCCAAAGCAGGATTTCATCCCAGATATGTGCAAGGAACCAGGCAGATTCTCGGCTCCGCAGCGACCCTTCGACCAAATCCGGTTGTGCGACTGATGATTATGATGATGATTATGCAAACTGATTTTTATATCCATAAATATATTTACAAACAAAATATAGCACAACTCAAGAAATGGAACGAAAGGCGTCTTTAAGGGGGAAAAAACAGTTTTTAAACAAATATTTCTCTTTGTCTTTCGTGAAGTAAAAATAAAATTTAGTTTCATTTCGGCTTTAGAAACCAGAAGAAACGACGTGCCATTTTTGCCTTGAGGTTAAGGTAACGTTTTATGCACTGTCTGTAAAAGGATCAATTTGTTTCGTAAAAACTGCTTCTTCAATTTAATGTTCTTGCTGGCAGGGAGGGAAGAACCTTCTTATTGCCTCTAAATCCCAAATCCTATTTCTTCCCAAGAGGCTGTGCGATAGATCACACGGCCCATGGAAAGAAACAGATATCACCAGCTTATAGTCTGTGAATTGCACTCTTTTGTCTCAACTGCTGTGTCTACCAGCCAGACTTTCTGTTTTTAAGCTTCAATGTTTCTGTGTTGCATAGTGATGACTGCATCGGCCAATGGGGCACATCCTCAATTAGCGTACGGTACACACCTTTAAGGCACTAGTGAGTTTTATCCAGAAATATGTACTGTTTGTATTTCTATAATTCCCAAAAAGTTTCTGATGAAGCTAAAATTAAATAGCGAAACATGTCAAATTTATTACGGTCTTCCTACTTACTCTTTATTTGATCAAATATATATATATATATATATATATATATATATATATATATATATATATTATGAAATGGACAAAGTCCGACAATTATTTTAAGACATTTTTATGTTAAACATTCTTTTTATAGATATAAATATTTAAGTAAATGCTCTGTTTTATAATAAACAGTATTAAACATTAACCGGCCTGAATGTCCGAAAACTTTTCACAGAAAATATTCGTCCTCGGACATTCAGGCCGGTAAATGTTGTTTAAGGCTGAAGGACTCTTTCATTTTTGTTGCTTTTGTTGTTGCTGTTGCTCCTTATGTTTTTCCTTTTGTTGCTCCTCCATCTGCACCTTGGGTTGTTCCACTGGTTGCACCTTCAGTGGCTGTTGTGGCTTAGGTGGAACTTCCTTCTGGGGGGAGATGAGGGGCCTGCTTTCTGCTCGCGTCCCTTAGCCACCACCTCCTTCCAACCCTCGCCAGGGGCCTTGCTGGGTTCTGCCTCTGTTGATGCTGTTGCTGTTGGTGCTGCTGCTGCTGGTTGTGGTGCCGTTTTCTTTCTTGGCCACGCCTTGGTCATGTGCCCAGAGATCCCACACGCCCAACAATAGGGTTTGCGTCCCTCGAACACAACCAACATCCGCCCTTCCCCTGTACATTATTATGTTGGGGATATCATTAAAATACTTACGGGTCAGTGTTATTTCGATTGCCACATCCCCCGTCGCTATACCAGCTTTACTGATTACGCCTGCGACCTTCTCCACCTTTCCATACTGGGCGAAAAAGGCCCCCAGCCTATCTTCCGAGATATCTATGGGCATCCCATGCACTGTTACATTTGTTCTTCGGGTGCCCATATACTCTGTTTAGATTCGGATTTTCTTCGAGTTCAACACACTCCCGGCCAACTTTTGGGTTTGTGGTGTTTGTGTTAACTCCGCCATAATAGTGCCGTGCACTATAATGACGGAAAAACCAGTCTCTCTTTTTTTTCTTTTTACAGTTTTAAAATTATTTTCACGAATAAACAAAGAATAATAATAATATTTTAACGAAAGCAATCAAACAAAGAAAAAACCGGATTAGAGTCCGGAGTAAAAAAAACTTAAACACAAACAAATACGAAATTAATAACCTTGGCTTGCAACAAACGAAAGAAAAAAAATGAATAAAATAAAAATGGAGGGGGTTAACACAAAAACAAAATGCAGAAAAACTTAAAATTTGCAAATACACGAACTGAAAATAAAAAATGTGGTCAAAAATAAGTAAAATAGAAATAAAAAGACTTAGCGTTTGACTTGTTGGATGAACTTTCGCTAGACCAAAAAAAAAACACACACAAACAAACACCAACCGGCAACTTAAAAACAACTGCCCGCAGCCAGAAAAAAAAGTTGGTACTAGCTTTAGGACGTGCATTATATAAGTTCCCCCAGAAAATGGCAACTAACCAAGACTTCACTTGGGCTATTCGATGTTATAGATCAGGTATGCTTGGTTGTATTGATCTTCCTACATGTGGCCAAGACAAGTGTTTTTGGAAGTAGAGAAAAAATCAAACCAATAAATATATATATACATTAATAAAATAAAGACGATTTGTTATATTGTCTCGTCTTGGGTACCTCAGCATGGTGTAATGGTCAGCAAGCTTGTCTCGCTAGATCAGTTACGACTGAAAAGTGAGTTCGATTCTCACTAGGTGTCCCTTGCTTTAGGCCTTGTGCCACATCTAAGCTACACTTAGAAAATAACTATATTGGCTCGACTTACTTTTCTTTCTACCCCTTTAACTTCTTTATTATATCTTATTTGTTTGGTCTTTCTTTTTATAACTTTCCTTTTTATTCTTATTTTTTCTTAACTACACTTAACAAAATGTTTACAAAGAATGATTAAAATGATTTTGGGATATTGATTGAAAATCTAAAATTCCGTTTAAAAACTAAAAGAAATAACATTTAATTAAAATTGCTTTAAAATAAATTAATCAAGATATTTACATGTTAAATACTAGTTAAAAAGAAAAAATGTAAACATAACGTGTAAATTTTAATTAAAATAGGTTACTCCCCAAAAATTATCCTTAACGGAAGAAATTTGTTTAAAAACTAAGATAAATAACATAACTAAAATTGCTTAAAATAAATTAAGATATTTATTTACACATTGAATAATAGTTAAACGAAAAAATAGCGTGTAAATTTAGTTAAAATAAGTTACTCCTGTTATAAAATAAAATAAGACATATCTCGGCTGATCACTCAAGAGCGAGAACCGGATGTAAACGGGACAAAGCCCCGTCACAAAATGACCATTATCTTTCTTTACAAATGTTCCCGATACACGTGTTCTGGTCGAAAAATAAAATAATATTTAAAGTGCTCTATTTTTCGTCCAATAAAAATGCTTCCCTCCTAATTATACTCGCTTCGTTTTTCGAGCCTGTTAAGCCATAAAAAAACGCTATAAAAGGAGTCACACGAAAGTTCAACAGGTGGCCACAAAGGAAACCTGTCACGGTCAGGTCGAGCGCTCAGCAGCTGTCAGCAGGAGAGCACCAACCACCGTCAACATGTGTGAACTACTATGAGAGATCGACCTAGATCCGAAGCCGGCTTATGAACTTTACCACAAGGTAGCTGTCCCAAACCCACACGTTCCTGTTGAAATAAACCACGTAAATCTATTTCTGCTGTTGTATTTCTTTCTTGCAACCATACGCTTGTCTATAACACTCCTAAAAAAAATTATCCTTAATGGAATCCGATTGAAAAAAACGAGTAAATGCAAAACAAAAAAAACAAATCAGAAACGAAAAATGGGAAAAAAATTCTGATTAAAGAAAAGGAATGATTAAGTGTAAAAATATTTTTGTAATAAAATAAATCTACTCAATGATAAGTAAAAGGCAAAAATGAAGTCGTTGAATATGCGACTGAATGCAACTCGAATAAATTGTTTCTCTGAAGCTTCTCGTCATCTATATATACTTATTCTTTATTTGATCAAATCAGTGTAACCCGGATATAAGAGACCCGGATATAAGAGAAACCCGGATATAAGAGAGATTTTCTCTGGTCCCAAATTAGAGCCTGTGTTAATGTATATAAAATAGACCAAACTCGGATATAAGAGAAACCCGGATATAAGAGAAACCCGGATATAAGAGACTTCTTCTCTGGGCCCCGACAACTCTCTTATATCCGGGTTACACTGTATATGCAATGTTTCACGATTCAGGCAGACTTTTGCTCCGTCTATTATCTTTTCTTCTTGCTGTGTCCCTTCCACCTCCATATTTTGCTCTGTTCTCTGATCCATTTTATCACCCTTTGTCTTTTAGTTTTATTTACCATTGCACATTCCATTGATTTTCGTTTTTCTGAAGCAATTTTATGAATTTCTTTGTTTCGCATTTGTTCTACCTGCATCAACATGGCTAACGACCGACTCCTAGAGAGCAAAACACTGCGCCTTTTGGCCTCATGTTGAGACTACATCGAATCAATAGCTGTATCTACTGCAAGGAAGGTTGGGTCACTGTCTTGTGCCAGAAGATTTTCTTCGTCTGAGTCCATCTTACACATTTACAAAATTTCTACCATTCGCCCGTGAATTGAATACAGCTTCCATATCTGGCCTGATGCTCCTGTTATTCATCTCAAAGTTCTTGACAAAATCCAAAGAAAGATCTGTAATATAATCGATTCTGACTTGTCATTTCAACTTCAGTCACTTTCTCACAGACGTTGAGTGGCTTCTCTCTGCCTTTTCTACAAATATTTTTTTCATGGCAACTGCTCTGACGAGCTTTTTTCCCTGGTGCACTGACTGCATGAATTTAAGTGTGCCACTAGATTGGCAAGTAGGTCCCACTCGTTTACTGTTGAAATAGCTAAATTCAAACACCACTTCTACTCTAACAGTATCTTTTCGCAAATCAATGATAACATCTGTGCAGAAATTCGAGGGCTGTAGTCAGAGCTATTAACCACTGTTACGGAGAATGCTATCGAAAGTACATGTCCAAGTTGAAATTCTATATAAAGTTATTTTTTAATGAGAAAATTTTTAAGTCTCTAGCTGTAATTATATAAAATATATATTATGTATGTTTCAGCTTCTAATATAAATCCTTATTTTTAAAAGAAATTATTGGTATTTTGGATGATACCGGATTTTAAAATGCGAACAAAATGCAAATGTATAATGAATCCAAACAAAGAAATAACAGAGACCATTCTCGTAAAAGAATGCAATGGATTTGACAGAAATTTGAACTCGGCTCTCCGATTCCGCAATACGAGCCGCTATCCATTACTCCACCGTTCCTAGTAGCATTATCATATTTAATGCCATCTATTCTGAGCATTATTCTTTGCCATAGAAACATATATTTGATTAACAAAATCTCCCTTATACCTTAATAAATTATGTTATTATTTTACATGTTAATATGATCACCTTGATATTCAGTAAACTTCATCGATTTTTATCTAATGATATTGTTAATTTTTCTCTTGCTTCAATTTCAACTATAAAGTTAGTGGTTTTTGCGTTCACAGATATCTCCTTTGCTTGAATATTGTTTTCCAATCTCATCTTTTCATGGTGGATCACAAATTTACCATTGGATCAATGTCTTGAGAAAACAGAGACGATTCTATTAATCTGGAATCTTTGAAGACTTTTCTTTTTTTTTCTTTTTTTTTGGCCAGGTGGACAACATTTTAGAATATGAAAGAACGTTGTCTTCTATGAATATAGTCTTGAATTTAAAGTCTCTTGGTTGTATTAACTTACGGCCATATCACATTGAAACACTGGTTCCCGTACGATCACCGAAGTTAAGCTACGTCGAGCCTGATCAGTAACTAGATAGGTGATCGCTTGGGAATATTAGGTGTTGCAGTCTTGGGTGTGTGGATAGGACAATTGATAATGGCTCGGATTTGGAAATCAGAGAACCGAGTTACAATTCCAGTGGGGTTCGTTATATCCACTTACGCGAAAATACCCTTGGGAACAATATTAATCCAACTCTTCCCCCGCTTCTCCAGCTATGAGTTAATTAATAGGACTAAATCATTATTATCTCCAAAAAATCTAAAAATATTTAGCTGGTTTTAAATAACCTGCAAATGTTGATAAGCCATAAAAAGGTTAAATCAATCAATCTTGATTCTGTTGTCAGTTACGTGTCATGCGTGATACGAAAGATACATGATTAACGAGGCAGATTTTTTCCCGCAGTAGATTGCCATTTCTTTCTGCGGTAGACCAGTTGTCATCCAAGGCTATAGAACCCGGTCTAACGGGTTCTATAGCCTTCTTCTTCTTCCTAGATATGGGTATTTACCCATAGCTAGGGGGAAGAAGAAGAAGAGGATTCATACCTTTCCCATGACGTGAATGTAATGGATTTGACTGGAATTAGAACACGGCTCTCCGATTCCTCAATCGGAGCCGCTATCCATTACTCCACCTAAATGTCTTGTCCAAAAGCCAAGAATAATTGTTTCCTTTTATCTTGAAGTGGCCATTTAAAGTGTCCTATAATAATAACTATCTGAAATACTAGCCAAAAACATAACTCCGCTTATTAATTCAAAATTCTGATGACTTTATGCTAGATTTTATAATTCAAGTCATTTTTTTCACAGTAAAATTAGTATTAATCAACTGACATTGGTAAAATTTTAAGGATATATTTATGTGAACAATATAGCATGTAGTATCTACTTATAATATCTCTCCATATTAAAAAGTGTTGTTAAAAATTGGTCTGAGTGAAATATCATGTTTTAATATGCAAACAAACTAAATGCAACATAAATTTTCATTTATAAATACATTCAAAAGATTTTTGCCTATTTAAACATATTTGATTAACACAATATTCTATCTAACTGAATAAATTATTTTATTATTTTACATGTTAACTCGAGCACCTTGACCTTTTATCACCTTCTTCAATCTTTAATTGATTTTGTTAACAATTCTTACTACTTCCCAGAGATCTTACGTACTTGAATAGTGTTTTCCATTCCAATATATGTCTCTTCTCATAACAGTTTTATATTAATGTCTTGAGAAATCTTTAATTGATTTTGTTAACTTTTTCTACTGTTTTGGCGTTAATAATACTTGCAGCAATTCTTACCGCTTCCAAGAGATTTTTCCCGATGATAGACGTAAGAAAAAGATATATAATAGATGCTGTCTAGTTTTAGTGTGAAAAGGAATGCATGCATAATAAGAAAGAAATCTCCCTGGATGGCCCATACTTTCGGCCTTGTGCCACATCTAATCTACGCTTAAAAAAAACACCATAATAAGAAAGAAAGAAAGAAAGAAAGAAAGAAAGAAAGAAAGAAAGAAAGAAAGAAAGAATATATGTATTTAGAGTATATTTTACAGTGTATTCTATGATAATACTATGATGATGTCTCGTCTTATCATATTTGGTAGCATAATAATATTATGATATTTAGTACCATTATAGTATTATCATATTTGGTGGCATCATTAATGTCTTCTTGTTTTAGTACAGTCGGCTTCATCAATTATTAAGATGGTCACGACAAAAGTAGGAACTGTGGCCGGTCTCATAGAAAGAAAGAAAGAAAGAAAGAAAGAAAAGGTAGTATTATCATATTAGGCGCTATCATATTTGGTACAATAGTAGTATTCAGTCAGTCAGTTATGTGCCATGCGTGATACACGTTTAGGCGATCATGTATCTTTCGATACATGACTGACGAGGCAGATTTTTTTCCACAGTAGGTTGCCATTTCTTTCTGTGGTAGACTAGTTGCCATCCAAGGCTATAGAACACAGTCTGTTCTTCTATTTTCACATAGATGGGGGATGGGGGGAGAAGAAGAGGATTCATACTGTTCCCAAGGGTATTATCACGTAAGAGAATGTAATGGATTTGACTGAAATTTGAACTCGGCTCTTCGATTCTTCAATCCGCGCCGCTATCCATTACTCCATCGTGCCTAGCAGTATTATCATATTTAATGCCATCGTAGCATTACCATATTTGGTATCATCATAGTATTATCCTATTTAATGCCATCGTAGCATTACCATATTTGGTATCATCATAGTATTATCCTATTTAATGCCATCGTAGCATTAGCATATTTGGTATCATCATAGTATTATCATATTTAATGCCATTATATTATTTCTATATTTGGTAGTATTCTCATGCCATCACATAATTGTTTATCATCATTTTATATCTAAGATTATATATTTGCGACTGTGGATTTTTATAATAGTTCTTAGGAGAGACGATGGGGTGATTTCCTTTGCCCTTCTCCACATTATGGCAACATTAGAAACGACGAAACGAGATCTGAACTGCTATGTAATGTTTACATTTCTATATGGCCATCAAAGCTATACAAACTTTTCAAGAATTAAAAATAAAGAACTTGAGGCAACCGAGATATAACAATAATAACATGTGCACAGTTTGTGAAAAATGAGGAAATTCTGTGGCATATGAAAACTGCAAAGAAAGAGCTGATAACAATAAAAACAGGCAGTTTAAATTTGGGATACATCGAATATGAAGAAAATAACAAACAACCAACATGAGAGGATAGATCAATCTCCGGATTACATCGGAAATGTGCTGGTCAAACTTTCTGCCTCTAGGAAGAGAGGATCCCCAGACGAGGCTATGTCGAAGGGCAGAGTCTCATCTCGGGTGGTAGACAGCTATCCGACCCTGTCTTTTACTGGGTCTACGGGGAAATTTTTGGCCGAGCCTACGGGCTCGGATATCCCACAATAAACTTAATCTTGTGCCGCATCCCACCGTGTAAGGTGGTTAGTGAATATCTCACGCTCCGGATTACGTCGGAAGTGTGCTGTTTAAACTCTCTGCCTCCGGGCAGATAGGATCCCCAGACGAGGCTATGTCGAAGAGCAGAGTCTCGTCTCGGGAGACAACTACACTGCCACGTTTTTACGGGTCTACGTTGAATTTTTGGTCGATCCTACGGGCTCAGATACCCCACAATAAACTTGGCCTTGTGCAGCGGTTAGTGAATATCTTACCTAAATGAAAGGTTTGGGCAAATTGTTTGGAAAGCAAGTACTACAATCAGAAAATGCATTTATAAAGGAGCAAGTATGCCAGCAAGAAAAGAAAAGAAATTGTGGAGATCCATAATCACCCACGTTATTCCTTTATGGAACATGACGCATAGAGAGAAAGAGAAGTATTTTCGTAATATATCTTAATTTTTATTGTTTCGATCACTACTTTCCAGTCAGTGGATTATCTGACTTTCTTAATATTGTGTGAAAATTCGAAATCTTATCAAACTATAATCTATTCTGACTATATCTTCATTTTATGATTTCGAGCACTATCCTTCGACAGTCAGTCTTGTACATGCAAAGATTTGGCCGGCTGTTATCCAATAATCGTAATTATTGTAACATGTTGAGTTGGATTGAGAAGAAACAGGCGTAGCGTGAAAGATGCCACGCCTCCGACTCGACGACAACAACCGCTGCTGGGTCTGTGCCCCGTTGTCTGCAGCCAAGTCCTCGTGGAATCTAATAGCTGCACGGCGTCGGCGAAATTTCATGTCTCCTATTTTTGCTGTAAGCACGAGCCTTTTCGCATGAACAGCTGCACAACACTTAGAATCAAAAGAATACCTGAAGGTTTTCTGAGCCGATACGACTCGTCGCTCGAACAAGGCAGTGTGGACAGTTCGAGACAGTTGATCAATTGGTGTTCAGCTTAAAAAGGAGAAGCAGGTGATTTGGTCTTTGATTACGGCGTCAGACTGTCAGTTTTCTTTGAAAGCTGAAAAAAGCAGTTAAAAGAGAAGACGATTTCGTGCTTGGTTTTTTTTTATTTTTTACAAAAAAAAAGGAAGGAAAAATTGTATTCTCCTCGAAGATTTAAAATTGGAAGACAAAATTTATTGAATTGATCACTAAGCATTGATCAGTCATTTAAAAAGTCCTATCAATATAAAGTAAACATAATATTAACGTATTGGCTCATAAAATAAGTAATTCTTTGAGGAATTATACAATTCTAAATGACTAAAAAAAAGGACACCATTCTTACCGGTCAATCTAGCATTTGTAAAACTCACGATAACCACGATACTTAAATATGATTCAACTTAAATATTTTTATAAATATTATTTCAGGAAAAGAGTTCCCATAATACTTTTAAAAAATGCCATATCCCTTACGTAGGCGATCATAGCTCTCCACAGATTCATTTTAATTATTTGTGAATTCATATCTTATTGGGAAAGATAGTGAATTTTATTGTATTGATTTGTTTTTTTTTACGGTTTATCAACCATCGATGGTTATTTAAAACCACACAATACTTTTATAGTGTATGAATTTTTGGAGATAACAATGATTTAATGATACAAGTCATACTAATTATCCCATGTCTGGGATGGACAAGAGGTGGATTCATACTTTTCCCAGGGGTATTTGTACGTAAGTGAATATAATGAACTCTACTGGAATTGGAACTCGGCTCTCCGATATCCAACTGCTAGCTGTCATCCGTTACACCACCCGCACATCCAAGCTTACAGCACCTGGATTTTCCAAGCGGCCACTCATCTAGGTACTGACCAGGGTCGACGTTGCTTAACTTCAATGATCGTGCGACAACCGGTGTTTCAACGTAATATGAGAGTAAGCCTATTCGAATCTGCCTTCTCCACAGTTTGAAATTCAGTTTTTCCTTCTCTTAGACTGGTTGCCATTCAATCCTAGTGAGTCTAGTATACTCTGTTACTTAACCCATAGCTTGGGGATGGGGAGAAGTGACGGGTTGAGAAAGATATTTTCTAAGGGCATTTGTGCGAAAGTAAACGCAACAGACTCGGTTAGAATTCG